CAAATACCGAAATCCTTGCTTTTCTTATGTAACAAAATTAAGACATCAAAAAAAATCTTATTCAGGATAAAAATCACAAAATTTCCTAATATGCCGATGACAGTTCCCATGCTCTTGTTCGTTCACAAACTCCCTTTGTGCTGCTTTTCATATCCTTGATTTTTTTTACTTTTATCTGGGTAAAAAACAGTACCAAATCAAAACTTATTTCGATGGGCTCAAAAAAAAAATTCAAATGAAGTATTTCACCTAAGATGGGATTTTGTTATGGTGTCAACAACTTCCTTTTTGCTAGGCATTAATTTATTTTTTCTTATTTTTTGGTAGATTTAGAAACATTCAGTCAATAAATGTATAATATTCCATAGCGGATTTCTTTCTTTATTATTGGTTAAAATCTTCTCTTCAACTTGTTTCTAAACACGTAACATTGAAAATATATGCTGTTTGATAATTATAATTGAGAGTTATATATCACAGTATACTTTTTTTATCTATATGTAACACATATGCACATTTTGTCATTATCTGTATTAACAGTTGCACAGTTTGGGATGATATCACAGTCCAGTGGACACCCCACCGTCACGTTACAGTAGCCTTCCGTACCCTTGCACGTCCTCTGGCATCCAAATCCATATCCAGGGTAGGACATGGATACATACAACTAGGACCACTGTACCCGATTTTACATTCTGCAAGAATTATATTTAAATCATTCAACAATTTTTGGGTTCAACATTTCACTATGCCTTTTTTTGTAAAAAAAAAAAAAAAAAAAAAAAAAAAAAAAAAAAAAAAACACAACAACAGCTTTCTTTCTATTTTTACTCTGAACACAGCATGAGAAGCGTTTGTCAGCATTTGACTAATGATAAATTGTATTCGATAAAGTCATTGTACAGTATCGACTGTAGAACTTACGAAATGCATGACGACATTAAATGAGACTGCTAATATTCTTGTTTCATCAACTTGTTTGACAATAATCTACCTCTTGTTATAAATAGCTCATAGGTAGTGCGTGCTCTTGCATATCGAATCAACTAAGAAATATATACTCCTTATTCAGATGATGAAGGAATATTGCTGATATATAACTAAGAGAATAGACAATTAAAATGTTTAAGTCATCATGTTTATCATAGAGATTTTTTTTTGTTGGATTCCCACTAACGTCCTGAATAAAAAAGTCAAAATAAGGAAAACTGAAACAGTAGTTTTGAATATTTTCGCGATCAAAAAGTTTTAATTGCAAAAGAAATTAAAGGTTTAGTAGATGACATCGCAATGCTTGAACTTTGTCCTATTGATACATCTGTATGATCCTTATAGTACATTAAGAACAGAGACTCCGTATACATGTTTCCAAATTTCAGTCCTCTGCTATTTATGAAACAAAAGTTACACTGCATGTAGTAACAGACTGTAACATATGTCTGTATTGCATTAAAACAGCAATAATCTGTTCAAAAATTTTAACTCCCATGTGACCAAGAAATAGAATTCTTTGCTTTTTTCACAAAAAAAAGCCGCTTATTATTTTTCTTACAAAGATTATTTATTTAAAAGAATATAGTAATAAAATTCTTTTTTTTTCTTCTGTGCTTTTTAAGAAAAAAAAATTAAAAATACAATTCACGTGTATTTTGTACTACCTTAACTTTTTTCATTTTCAATATATTGGATGATCTAAAATGACTCATTCTATGTATCAAATTGACTCTTATTTAATGAACTATTGAAAAAATAAAATGAGAAAATACAGTTTGCAGAAATTACATTTTTAAAATGCTTTAATTATACATTGTCAACCACTAGATATTTAAAACAATCAGTTAAGATATATTATTTAGATATTACAGTTTTAAACAGTTTAAACTTAAATTTTAAACAGAAGCATTTATATCAAAAAATGTTCTCAATTATCTTTTCGAAAACTTTCACTAAATTGTCTGATTTTTTTTTCTTTTGGTTTTTCTTTCTCTTTTTTCTACTCTGAAATTTCCGCAGTTTGGCATCAACCAAAATAACTTCTATATTTATTGCACTTATTTAAGATACTCGTATATTGTGCTCTCTTTTATTATCATTTAATTAATATCTAATATATGTTAAATTTCATAAATTCATAAAAAAGCGTTTAATTCAATATAATATACAAAATAACTGTACATGTAATGTGCATACTATATATCTAAAAAAAAAAATAGATAAGAAAAAAAAAACAGCTGTAATAAATTTCAGTGTACAGTTATATCATGATACCTACTTATACATTTCTCAAGAATCGAATCATTACGATATCTTCTGCAACAACCGCTACAATGAGGAAAAACCAATGAGTATTCATGTCAAACATTATTTTGGGTTCAGAAAAGATCTTGCAAACAAGCACATCCTCCAGACTCTAAGTCGAAATGAAAATCAATACTCGTGGCAGAGAAATAGCAAAATATTTGCTGTCAAAATTATAATATACAGAAGGATCTACATCTAAGCTTTCAAACCCTTTAAAACTGTAACCTTTTCAAATACTCACTTTGGTCCAGAACATTCTGAAGTTGATGCATCAATCTGATATTCAACACTGAACACAAGTATTAATATGATCTCACCCATAACATCTACTTTTTATCAAAAAATAATTTGAAATTATTTCGACCACATTTATTCCCGCTGAACATAAATATATGGCCAACACTTGTGAGAGCTTCCTGAGCGTTATCAGCATTGTTATATTGGTTCTTCCTGTTGTGTGTGCTTTGAGTGAACGTAATACTTTTAAGAAGTACGGAAAAATGAAAAAGGTCTATCAAAAATCCGTTCTTTAAAATGTATGTTTTGCGAATTTTTATTCAATATATGAAAGGAGTGTCATATATAATAAAACAAAATTATCAAATTTATTTTGGTTAAAGTTTAACATAACGCACAGCAATATTGAAAGTTTTAAACATCTCATAAGTGTTTCGAGGGGATTGCGATCCTTCTAGAGCAGAAACATTATAATATCATTTAAACATTTTGTGAAGGATATAAATTCGAGGCATTTCGATAGTTAAACACACACACACACCTAAAAATCCAGAAAATTCAAAGCAGATCAAAGAAAACAAGGTATAATTTGTAAGCATCTTTCGGCATATAAACAGGTTTGTCGAGTGAACAAATTAGATTTCATACAAACCTGTTTTTATAGATCGATAGATGTTTCAAAATAGTACCTTATTACTTATATTTACATGTAATGTTTTATATTTGTCTCATTTTGACAGTTAAGTAAGGTGTGAAATGATTTTATTTTTCAAAATCAGGGTATATATGTAATCCACTGAAAGCGTGTCGATCCTTTATGACTTCACCAACAAATTACATCGGACCTTAATGAGGTTTAAGATACTTGTATTTATATGGGTATAGATAAACATTACTTTCATGCAATAGTGTTAAATATTTGGAAATCTAAAAAAAAATCTTTTTTGATATATTATGTTTTTTTTTATATCTTATTAGTATATTTAAGATATTTCTTGGAGGAAAGTGTGATCAGGCATTTTGTTCTGCAACATTTTCCGGACCTAAATACAATGAATTGAACGCGATGTTCTCTAGACATGCGCTATTTCAGTCGGTAAAATCCAGAATTACCAAAATATCATTTTTCAGTTGTCGTCTGAATCTTAAGATTTGCAACAAAATGTATTATTTAAAATCCAAAATAGTGTTGAAAAATTTGGGTTAAGTTTTTTTATCATTAAGGAGGCTGGGGTCAACAAATTAGCCATATGATTTTACTTAATTTTTAATATATGATATCTTAAGCGGTGAACTATCATATGAAAAACATTTTAGCTAAAATTTTACCATTCTTGTATATTTTCACATGGAGCTCTTCTTCTAAAGGAGATCAATATAGTCTAAAAAATGGCTGTGACCCCCTGGCCTTCTTAATGAACATATTAATTATTAAACTTAAATTTGCTTTAGTATTGGGTCTTCTCATTTTTCAAAATTGTTTGGAAATAAAGATTACGTCTATATGAATTATATTTTGATAATATTTTTTTAAAAACAAAACAATCTCATTTATAGTCTATATCTATAAATTTTACGGTCCATACAATAACATTATTTTGGAAATAAATCTGTCACCGGGTCGAATATCGAGTGTTTTCATTAAATTGTTTTTTTATTTTCATAAACATTGTTTTTTTTTTCTATTTACTGTTTACCCGAACAGAAGACATAAGCAATATCTTCAATGGAAAAATTGTTGGGGTATTCTTAATCATTTTGGCAGGGTAACCATACAACCTCTGTTTTCAGAAATCCATCAAAAGAGAAAAGAAAATGTGCTGAACAAAATCTGAAATTATAAACACCATTGTTTTTAAAGTATTTTGCACTTCATAAACACTTTCCGGCTTGATTAAAAACAATCTCTCCTCGTGATTCATGAACGTTTAATACAAAATTGATATTGTATATAGCACGATGTTATTGAGATACATGTAATAAGTTTATTTTATGAAGAACATAACCTTTTTATAGGATCGTGAATAGCACGTTAAATGTACATAATTAAGGAAGTATAAAGTTCATTGAAGTGATCAGAAATGAAACAAAATGTGAAAGTGTGTGTCTATTTTTGTTACAAAAATATCAACCAATTTCATTCCCAAAAAAGTTTTTGATCTTGCCATACATGTAATGTCACTTTTATTCATATTTGTTTTTTAAAAATATCAACTGTCGTTTCAATCTTGGTGACTGCTTAATTATTATGCTTGCGTATTATTAAGGAAAAAATGAATTTTTAAAGAAAATAAAATATCTGCTTTATTTTTCATATCTTTATATATCCTATCTCTATATAAAGAACAAGTTAATTTCTGATTTTCAAATCAGACAGCATTTTTCGACCCAATATTATAATGATAAAATATCTTTTATATACATGTAATGTAACTGTTTACGTCCTATGATATGATATGATTCCCACAGCATTTCGTATTGTCCATTTCGACGATTATCACAGAAAATTTCGACTCTTTACTTTATGCTACTCATTATGTCTAAAGGTATACTAAGTCTTGTATATAGAAGTCAAATCAGAAATCAGTCTTTGTCTTTAGTTTTTTTAACTTGTCATTGGGAGGTGTCAATTAAAATACACTTTACATAGATTGGATGACATTCCGTGCAATCAGCTTAGAGAACTAAAGAAAAATTATATATATGCATTTAAGTCCTATTAAAACTAGTAAAGAAGGTAAGCATGTACTTTTTTCCGGTCCGAAATATTGTAATTATACAAAAAGAAAATCTGTCGTAGTACAGTGCTGGTACACCTGAATAAACATTAATTTATTTAAAAAGACTTAAAACACATGTATACCGGTCGTAGTAGCTGCACATCCTGCTGAAAAATCACAAATGTCTTTCTGGCAATCACATTTTGATTGACAATCTTCTCCATAAAAAGGAAATGGACATTTAGAAGAACAGTTTATTCCAATGTATCCCGGTGTGCATTCTGAAATTAATTGCATAGTTAACTGTTTTTTTATATGTAGAGCTTAAAAATGTTAAAAGTAAAATAGACTTATTTATGAATTCATCGTCATTTTGTCCCCAACTGAAAAAAATAACCTTAAGTCCTTTTTAATTTCAACAACCAAAGTTTCATTTGCACTCCCCTCCTCCAAAAAATCGAAAGAGAATTTACAGTTTATGTGAAGTTTGATTTAAAGAAACGAATTAAACGAATATAACCAAAATTAATATAAAAGCATAATTTATTGTTTTGAAGATATTCAATTATATTATACATGTATTTCTCAATTATTTAAAGATCGCCGATTGGCTAAAAATGATCATATGACCAATTACCAGTATATAGTAATATAGTATACTAGTAACAGTATGTATACATGTATTTGTGTAACTATTTAAAAATGATTCTGAATTTTATATTAACGTGATGTTTCAAAAAATAGACAATATTGTATAAAACAATAGTGTTAACTTAACATAGCCAATATGATTTAATACTAAAAAAAATCCCAGCTATTGATATGATCCACTTCATCTTAAAATAAATTATATAAATATGTTTCCTACATTTAGGAAATTCATAAAGAATGTAAATGAGCATATGTAGTCTTATATATTAATTGGTACACAATTTAAAAAAAAGAAACACAATGAATTAAACATATAACTTAAATTTAATCGTAATATTTCTTTTATTCCAGTTGTTGTCTTGTCAATCTCTTTAACATATTCTATAGCAAATGTATCATAAATCAATTTTTATTTTCTCAAGAACTTTTTCTCGTTATTAACCCATTCAGTTTGCTCGCGAAAAATTAATCCTAGCGTGAAATAGTATTCTGGGAGCATTTAAAGAGCAAGAACCAATTCGTGAAAACTGTGCCTCGCTAATTAAGATTAAATAACTCTCCCGCGAAATTAGGGTGTGGCGAAAAAAAATGATTTATTCATTCGCTACTATACCATAGATATATCAACTTGATAAAATGCTCGACTGAGCAAGAAGTTGATAAGTTTTTCTGTCAGGTCGATTTATCTTTGGATAGACCTCATAAAGGGGTATTTTCACATGATATAAATTTGATATTTATGAAAAAAAAATAAGAAGAATACGTCTGTCAAAATCAGAAAAGTTGCTAACGAACATTTTCTAGTCTGAAAAGTCACCCCCTCTCCACCTTTTGAAAGAATCCTAGGTCAACCCATACAACATACTAGTCCCATTTTAATATGAGGTTCTACTGGGTTTCTTGTTTTTATTATTAGGTTCTTCAAGATACTTTAATATACCTGTAAATTAATATACTTTTACTTACTTTCGCATTGTTGGCTTCTAATATTCCACTTGAAATCTGGACAGCACGATTTGAAGCCACTGTTTGGATAACTGAATTCTTTTAACTTTTTATAATATAACAGTTGATAAAAAAAATACTAATGAAATAAGATCAACAAATTAAGGTTATTTAAGATCTTGATCCTCGAAAATACTTAAACAAATATTATTATACATGCAAGGAAAATTACATCTTTACTGTGTTTAGGATAAATACTTACGTTTCACATTTCGGAATTTCTGAAGAATGCACTGGAATAAAACTGAAAACTTGGGCAAATAAAAATAAAAAAAAGTTTGTGAGATCCATATGATATATAAACATGCAGTCTTTACTTTGTATTTGTTTATGATTAATGTCGAGTCACTTGGTCAATGCATTGAACATTTCCTCCTTCCGGCAAACAACAAAAATAACTAACAACAATAGAAAACGTGTAGCAAGTAATAAATTGATGTTTATGAACCTCTTAATGACAATCTTGTATAAAGTCAGCATTTCAAAATCTCGATATCGGGTAGGTCATAATTTTGAAAATCGCTATAATTAATTTTCTAGTATTTGCAAAATAATACATGTACAACTACTTGATGCAATTTTGTTTTATACCTACATGTTTCAAATACATCCATGGTCATTTTCAAACAAGGGATGCTTACTCCTTTTAGGAACAAATAAAAGATATTGTTGGTTTATCTCTCTTGTATCATTGTGACTTTTGCAGAAAATTCATCTCTTATCAGACATTTAAAAAATGAATTTTTTGCATTAATTTCCGTATACTGTAAACGTATTTATTTTATTTAGCGTGTGCAATATTTGGCGGTAATTGATTTTTGAACAAGTTAGCGTAGATTTGATTTAGCGCATTTCTTAATGTTCTTATAAATGTATATATGTTTAAGACATTTAGCATTGTACTTGAATTAGCGGGAATTTCTTTCCGCCAAAGAAGCTAAAAAGAAAACACAGCCAAATGTAGTACGTATACAGTAGTCTCCGCAACATGTTATATTTTTATTACGTGTTGGTTTTTTTAATGAGTTGATATTGTATGTACATTCATTTAAGGTTAGGATGTTTTTAGTTTGATTAAATGTTAAATCAAGATAATATCCCCTGCAATGCCAGAAGTTTTTCGTTGTTTGTCACTGTTAATGATACATGCATTTACTTTAATAAATGATATAATGTACCTCAACATGATGTTATCTGTTTTTGACTGCTTTGTACGAAAAACAAGCTCAGTCGTTTGGCAGGAGAACTTAGGAACAAAGAAAATGGTCTACTCTTCTAAATAATGAAGATCTAAATCATTAAATGATAATGAATCTTTTATATTCATTATATCCCTCCCCCTCGACTGAAAATTGGGAGGGTATAAAGTAATGGGGATGTCCGTCCGCCCGTCTGTCTGTACGTCTGTCCGTCTATCACAGTTCGGGGTACCCATCTCTTATCCACAATTCCTCTCATACCACTGAATGAAATTTGATGAGAACTTTCAAGAGATATTTCTTAGATATTGCTTTTGTGCATATTTCATTTTATTTTTTAATCCGACACATGTATATTTGGTTTTCCATGACAAAACATGAACATTGTCATTAAATTCATATGGGAGGCGGGGGTATCATTGAGTTAGCTTATTGCTCACATAAGTACAGTACATCTAGTTATCATTAAAGCTAAAGATTTTAGATTTTGACCTCAAAGTAATTCGATATTCAAAAGCATGCTATATATTCAGCTTTTAAACCTGGACAAGCTACTGACAGTTAAATTAATGTTACGGGAATTTCAATTGCCTCGCTTTATCAACCTCATAACTTCTTTTTAAAAACTTCAAAATTGTAAACAAGCTTTTTCTTGATACATATTTTTGTAAGCTTTTTTTAAAAATTAAAAAATCAATTTATTAAACAGATTATTTGTTGAGTAAGCATGCTCGAATTTAAGAAAAAAATCATAAACCATCTGTTTATCATGCTGCTCGCGCAGTAAGGACCATCGTAACTTGTTAGATGATTGCATCAACTGTCCAGACAAGATATACAGTTAATGTATACACTGCCAGGACAGAATATCAATGTACATATTACTGATTGATTGTATATTGTTTAACTTCCCTCTTGAGAATTTTTCACCCATATGGAGACGCCACCACTTGCTCTAATACTCGGGACTTATGACCATTGAGCAGGGAGGGATCTCTTTCGTGCCAGCACCTACTGCGACACGGGACCTCGGTTTATACGGTCTTATTCGAGGGACCGGTCTCCACATCCCACAGTGGGATTCGACCCCACGACGTAAATTCAACCTCTTACTTTACGACTCTGAGGCAAACCTCTACATTCACTGCGCCACGCCGGCGACCAATGTTCATGTGATGTATCTAGCCCAAAATACAACTTGGGGTATGTACGGGGTGTTTGCTTTTTGAGCGAAAGAAAGGGCCTTTCAAGATCGAGGTATTTTTGCTCGTCATGAATTATGAATACATTTTGCCGGACAGCATGCACAGTGCACTCACGAAGGAAAACACTATTTTAGGAATATATGGATATTTCATGATACATTTTCATCGACTGTACACTTTCTTGTTTCATCCACCGCTTAAATGCTATTCCGGGAAGCAAAATAGACCTACATTGTGTTTATGATTAAAATATGAAGACAAAGGTTTTGTTTCCTCCTACATACTTTCCAGCGAAATGTATCCCTATATTATGGAAAACAACAAAAACATACCTCGACCCCTTTCCACCGCTTAAAAACATACCTCCGTGCAAAACAAACCGAATCAAATCATCTCTTTATTTCCAAAGAGGTATTTGATATTGATTTTTTTTTTATACATTAAGCATTTCAGAGACTTTTGATTATTGATCTAAATTTCATCGACTTTTAAGAAATCGATAGGGTATTTATACCTTGTTTAAACATTTTGTTTTATATTATGATTAAAAAAAAAATACTGCTGTGTTTTCGAAACAATTTAATTTTCTTAATTTAAACGTCAATAGATGAAATTATTGAACTTCCCTCTATGCTGTAATTACTTTTGTATTCAATAGCAAATTAAATAACATGGAGATAATTTAAGTTCAATTGACATAAAAATTATACTCTCCACTTAACTTCCATCATTGTAATCAAATACTTAAAGAAACCAGCTAAAAAACAACATTCTCAATTTCTCTAAATTGTAGAAATGCACACAGATGTCTGGTTCAATTATCGGAGCATTTGGTGGGTGCTATTTTTTTTTTTTTAAATATCATTAATTTTAGGGAATCCCTTTGTAAAGGAAGCATGAACTCACTCTTATTAGGGACACATTATATGTACATCATATGTAATTTGCCATTTCTCTTGATTTATTAATAGTTCTTGTTATTTGAAATTTTGTATTTATAAAAAAAGCTGATCGGAGACTTCGTTTATAATCATGAAAGTTCACATTTTGAGTTTAGGTGTAAAATTCATTAACAAAAGCAAATACTAGTTGACGTGTACCTACACATTTGATTTTTTAAATCTAGAATTAATTGGACTTCTCCCTTTCTAGTATTTGCAAACTGATAAGCGATATCACCTCAAGTAGTTTAATTTATTTAGGTCAATTTATGACGTCCTAATAATATATCTCCTTTGTATCTGTATATCATGTAATTGATAAAACCTAAATCGTAGAGGAGTATTTTAGCAGAAAACAAACCTTTCTACTATCAAATTGATTTTAAAAATATTCAAGTTTTGCATAAGGGATATTCATTTTTATTCCACACGCAATGGAACATACGCAGTCGGAGTTTGAACACTGAAGGTATTCTGTGAGCGTATGGGTGATGGTGAGAGGGCCTTTTCACTTTCAGAATCTAATGTGTGAATTTTTTGATGAATTTCTTTACTGGAAGTTGCTTTTAAAATTGTTGGGACGCCGTTAAACTGATGGCTGAAAACTAAACCTGCAATCGGCTGTTACGGCCATTGAGCAATGACGTACACATATATATATATATATATATATATATATATATATATACATATATACAGCGGCACATGACCCATGTTTACACAGATAGCAGCAGTTAGAACGTCTGGAGTGAGAAGAGAGAGATTTGTCATGCGAACATTTACTAAACCTCTCTATAAAAGGTAGGTACTTGACAAATGTATCAAACATTTTGAATAATGTATTAAAATAATCTTATTTACTGTAAACCAACTTTTATTCGCGTGCGAGAAATATCCGCGAGTTCCGCGACCTCATTTAACTCGCGGATATTTATCGCCGCGAACCATTCATTTTGCTAAGAATTTGTAGAGAATGTTTCCTCAGTCGCGGAAATAGATTGCCGCGGATTGATTTTAAACTAACGAATCGTGAATAAAAGATGACGCGAATAATAGTTGGTCTACAGTATTTCCAACACCTTTGAATGTAAAGTAAGAGTTATTTAAGCATTATGACGATAAGATAATGACATTGATTTTTCACGTATGAACTCTCTAGATAGTGTTTTAATTGAAAAATACATTCCTTTAGTTGTCAATACATTATCAGTTCGTTGTCCTTTTAAATTCCTACAATCAACTATCAATCAAAATATAAAAAGCAAAGCTGTTTAAAGACGAAATTCACTCAATGGGGGCAGATATCATGCGTAATTAAATTTTCGAATTTTTTTTAATTGCTCTTTGGGTCGCATTGATATCAAATTTAGGTGTTCTTTAAGACATTTGTTTTTCTTTGTTATCAAATAATAGTGCACTTTAAAATGGTTTTAAATAATATTGGACTTGGAAACGCCAATAAAGAGGGATTATACATACCTCCGATAGCGTTTTGTAAAGATTGTCTAGTCAGCCTAGCATTACTTAGGAAAGTGCATAAAGTGAAGGTCAAGTATCAGATTTCTCCTTCTTACAGGTCTCGTTCTCGAATGAGATATATTGGGACACGACTGAAGCCATATTATTCATCATGCACACAGTGATAATGTCTCGGTGATAACTTTTACGCAGGTATATGCAACTGGATTTTAAACATACACTTGATATAAAAAGGTTTTGTAAATCAGTGAAGGGATAATTACATACATTTTTTCCTCATCTTCCCAAGGTACGTAAATTTTTATTTGTTTAATGTTTCTACCTAGATAAACAATTGTTACATGTATAAATGTTCATTTTGAAATTATGCAATAACTTCCCAGAGAGAATTGTCCTTTCTGACAAATTTTAATTTAAATTGACCGATCATTGATATTTTTATAACTTTGAGATAAAAGAAACGGGATCATAAATCAAGCGTTAAAAGCACGTACGTTAGTATGAAAGTGGCGCATACATATATAGAAGAGGCGAAAGGGTTAAATTGCTTAAAGATTTTGAAAGAATTGATGAATTGACTGTATATATTTAGTAAATAATAAAGTAAGATATCGTGCTCGTCCGTACATAAGAAAAACGTGCTGATCTTTAGATAGGAACGTATATTAGTCATATACATCTACCAGTCAAAACACATATTATACCCGACTTTTGTCTGACAATTTAATCAATCTACCACTGACAGATGGATAAAGTCACACTGAAGGTAAAAGGGAATTTTTTTGGTTGAATTTCACTTATGAGTATTTTCGTTTGTATTTTATGTGGATAGATTCTAACATCATTTTTATTTAAATTTGCCTTTTATAATATTTTTGTATAATTATTGTAAAATTTAATGTTAAGATAAGCTATAAGCGTCAATTCAAAAAATCACGACAAAGAAAGGATTTAATAATGCATGAAGCATTCTGAATCAATTTAACAATAATTATTTTGAACGCTTTTGTAAGTAAGATAAGAATCGTCAGCATCCTATTTATTGATTGTGTCCTTGGTAAAGAACATGACATTGATTTTGCACGAATAAACTCTCTAGAAAATGTTTTAATCGAAGGGAACATTTCTTGTTGAGAACACATTATCACCTCTATTGTCCCTATTGATACCTCTACCTCATACATGTCATATCCATCAAAATGTGATAAAGCAAAGTTGTTTCGATAAGTAGGTCACACAATATGCACAATGAGTGCATATACCGTGTCTGTTTAATTTTCTATTTTTTTCGTAGTCTCTTGGTCGCACTCGGTATCAAATTCAGTTGTTTTCAGGCTACCGGTGATTTAGACAGCGTTTTTGGAGATTTTTCTATGAAGCTTGAATATTAATTTTGAAAGTGTTTAAAGTGCAGGCCAGTTACAAGTATCAGTTTTCGCCTACTTTGAAATTTCGGTTTCGATTCATAAACCGGGACAAGATTATAGACATGTTTTATCATTCTCATGTGATAACGTCTGTGTGATATTTTTACGCAATACCACTATACAAATGCGACTTGGTGTACACAAGGAATACAAATTTATTTTGCAAATCATCTAGTGAATGGATAATAACATCATTTCCTGTCTCGTTAAGGTACGTTAATTTACGCAGTTTGATGTTTCAATTAAAAGATATGCAAGTAAAGGATTAGTACATGTAAATGTTCTCTTTGAAATTATATACAGATTTTCCAAATAGAATTACCAAATGGAACAGAATATCAAGAAAATTATTCGATACGACCGCCAGCATTAACCAATTAACTGGTAAATAGATGTCATTGATCTCAAAAGCTAAACACATGAATGATAATAAGAAAATGTTGCATATCATAGGTGAAGGGGTTGATTGAAAGAATTTCGACAGAATCGTTGATTGACTATTACATATACAAATGTAATCTGTACTTAATAATTAAGTATCAAAAATACATTACTTTTTTCTCCTTTCGATATTTATTCTAATAGAAAATAATTACATTTAATGATACTGTCCATTAGTGTATGATCAGATTTCCCTGGTCGATAAACATATAATATTTTTAGTGATTCGTCATATTAAGCAATCTATCTTATGATATCAAGTATAAAAACTCATAGTTAAGAAAATCAACAAAATGCTATCTTAAAAAAGAACACGTAGAGGGTAATTTTTTGTTTCAAATTTCATGATTAAGTAAAATATGTGCCATGTAGGCGTACTTTAAAAACCAGACGAACGTGAATATGCATTTAATTTTCTCCTCAAGAGAAAGACATATTATTCGACAATATCTAAAAAGAATGTTCTTTATATTTATGCACATAGATCTACCTGGGCCAGTGAAGGTATTTAAAACTAAAAAGAAATTGTGATTATATCTATGTTACTGTTTGCTTAGTTTTACGCCAGCTTATAGAATCCCTGCATTTTTTTTCAAAAATAAATGAAAAGTGACGGTATATATAATATTGAACACTATCATAATAATATTTTCTTGAAAATTTATTCCATGGTTATATAAATAGCTAAAATTATAAGTTATTTCTGCAGGATTTCAAGATGTGTACATTTGTATCTGAAAGTTTTGCTAAATTAAGAGATTGAACGACTTTATTAAATGGGGAATTTCGATCACAAGGCTGCGTTATCAAATTCCAAATTTTCTCTATATTCGATTCTATTATGTAGATGTTACTATCGGGTTTAGATTTTATGATAATGAAATTCTAGAACATGGCATTTACAAGGCAGTTAAAACGAAATGCTTTCAAGAAAAAGTTTTTCATTATAAAATACTACATGCATGTCCTTTTTCAATATATAGAGGCTTAATAAAAACAATCAAAAAGGTGTCTGGTGATAAAAGATAAAATAAATATCTGTGTCACTAGAAACGCATGTGATAATTAAATGTAACCTTCTATATATTAAAACAAGTCCTAAATTATGTCCTCATTTTATTTTATTAGCTCACCTGAGCCGAAGGCTCAGTTGAGCTTTTCTGATCAAAATTTGTCCGTCGTCTGTCGTTGTCGTTGTTGCCGTTGTCGTCGTAAACTTTTCACATTTTTATCTTCTTCTCAAGAACCACTGGGCCGATTTCAACCAAACTTGGTACAAAGTATCCTTGGGTAAAGGGGATTCAAGTTTGTTCAAATGAAGGGCCACGCTCTTTTCCAAGGGGAGTTAATCATAAATTTGTTAAAAATTAATAGCATTTTTAAAAAATCTTCTTCTCCAGAACCAATGGGCCAGGAAAGATCATACTCATGTGGAATCATCCTCATGTAGTGTAGATTCAAGTTTGTTCAAATCATGATCCCCGGTGCAAGGATGGGGCCAAAATGGCCGACCCAAGTTTTACATAGAAATATATATGAAAAATCTTATAAAAATCTTCTCCAGAACCACTGGGCCAGGAAAGATGAAACTCGTGTGCAATCATCCTCAGGTAGTGTAGATTCAAGTTTGTTCAAATCATGACGCCTGAGGTAAGGGTGGGGCCAAAATGGCCGATCCTAGTTTTACATAGGAATATATAGGAAATATCTTTAAAAATCCTTCTGAAGATCCACTGGGCCAGAAAAGATGAAACTCATGTGGAATCATCCTCAGGTAGTGTAGATTTAAGTTTGTTCAGATCAGGACCCCCGTGGCTAGGGTGTGGCCAAAATGGCTGACCCAAGTTTTACATAGGGATATATAGGGAAACCTTTTAAAATCTTCTTTTCAAGTACTTCAAAGCTATGATTAGTGATATTTATATGGAATCATCCTCAGGTAGTGTAGATTCTAGTTTGTTCAAATGATGAACGCCTGGAGGGGGGGGGGGTAAATTCAAGCCCGATGTGCTCAGGTGAGCGCTGTGGCCCCTGGGCCTCTTGTTTCTTCTCTACTTTGATTTTTATTTCTAATTTCTCGATGAGGTACATGCATATAGAAAGGGTACGGATGACAGTATCTATGTTCAATATTACCAAAAACTACAGATAAATTTTAAAGCCGAGTTCATCACTTCTGTGTTAAGTTGTATGCTGTAATTGTCAGATTGTGAGACAGTGAAAATGTTAATTTTTAAATTCGATACATCTCAATGAAAAGGCAAATTTTTGCAAAGATACTTTAGGAAGCCTGATTAGAATCTCTCTTTAAAATTATAACCTGAATGCTAGTGTAAAGAATTTCTTTTTATATGACTTCTCTCTTAATTGATCTTGAACTATATAATGGATGTTGTTTAGAGATCGCATCTAACATGTCTAAATTAATTATTGCTTGAAATACTGTAAAACAACTACATGTATTATTGGCGTCTTTTTTATTCGAGATTCGTCACTCTGAAATCAATCCGCGACAGTTCATTTCTGAGACCGAGAAAACATTCTCTACAAATACTTATCAAAAGTATTTGTTCGCGGCGATTAATATTCGCGAGTGAAAATAGGTCGCAGAGCTTGAGAATATTTCTCGCACGAGAATAAAAAATTGTTTATAGTATGTATTCCCTATACATGATCAAAAAAGAAAAATAACTTGATCAACATAATAATTAAAATACCTCCATGCGAATCTTATTTTGGACTGTGTCAGTGTGTCCTGTACATAAATTGTTTTCTGAAGCGCCTGGAATATAATCTATATACAAACAAGTGTAATATACAGCTTCTCAGTACGTGATCTGTTGCCTATTTTTTTTTTTTATTTCATACACAAATCAAGACAAATATTTCAATATCGACATTAAAGTACATGAATTTTTGTAATTTTTTGCAAATATTCTTTATATAGGGAATTACTCAACCAAAAAATGCGTTTTGATTTTCAAATCGGTTAGCATTATGCTGTGTTTCATTTTTTTTGTCAGACATAAGCAGGATGATTATTATCATCTAGATAAGAAGACAAGATCAATAATAATATTTCATTGTAAATATTAATAATTACAATGGTGATAAAGATGTTTTTGTTTTCTCAAAAGTGACACAAGTAATGCTAAATTTATAAAGTATCAGTATATAGTAGTATCAAAAGTTGTCCAGAATAATTACATCTTTTTATTCTGTGAATAAATCAAGATGTTAGGATGAGTATATTGTGTTTTAAGTACTAGTCATGCAAAAGTGATATTTGAGTGATTCACTCAGGTTCTCGGAATACAATGATTTTCCACACATAGATTTCTCTTGACCTATGATCCATGTATGTAAAATAAAAAATGTTTTGGATCATGGTTACTATGGAAACCCGATCAAAGTAATTTCCTTAGCAACCAGCCAATTTTTTCTATTTGAAGGCACTGAAAATCACTGATCTTTAAAGCCTGAAATTATATATAACATCTTAAACAATAATGCTCATTTACTGGTATGATAAAGACACACACTTTATTTGTTTAAAACACACAAGACATTGATATTTTATCTGAAGCTAGTACTATGGTAGACATTAGAATATATGTATGTTTTTGCATTTTTGCTGATTCAGCATTTTCCTTGATTTTGACAATATTCAAGGTCAATTTAAAAAAAATACCAAGCTAATACAGATTTTGCATGACTTTCACATAAAAGTAGAGAAATTTATCTTTTACAGATTGACTTTGAAAGCGTCGGTTTTTTCGAAAAATCCTATTCGTTGCTTAGCAACAAAATTGGATGTTTTGATAACTAAAAAGTGAAAAATGGTAAAGGGTTAAGTCAAAAATTTTATAAATTTTTATCTTTTTGTGGCAGATACAATTTTTCAAGTAATAGAAAATAACTCTCATATAATTTTAAAATGAAATAATGATTTATAATCATTAATCTCCATGGCAACAGAAAATTTTCCCTAGCAACAAGGCAAAAACAGTTATTTTTTGGCCTTTTTGGTATAGATTTTGATAGATACGAATAGATATTTTTCTTTAAAATGTGATTGGGCATAAATGTCAATTTTATTTGGTCTAATAAAGTTATTTTGGTACTTTATTAACCCATAGGTACAATTCTGAACACTTAACGACCACTTTTGTATCTACAATTTACTATTACATTCAGACATTTTTTCGTTAAATTTTTAGGGCTGAAAGGAAATCTTCCACAAAAGACGTTATAAATGAAAAATAAATAGCTTCAGATACCATATTATTATGTAACAAAACATCTGTATGGATGACAAGAT